CCTCCAGAGAAGCTGACTGAAAACAGCCAAGTGCAATGCGCATACAGTCTTGTATGATAGTGGCTTATCGGGTTTCCCATCAAGGGTCAAGGGAAAGTGCCACCATCATAAGCCAGGAAACCCATCTTCAAAGACAGGTAATCCTCAACAGAACTGAATGCTACGCTGGGCATTCATCCTGGGAGTAAATACAAGCTGGTGCTTGCCACTGCTATTAGGATTTCCTTTTAAACCTGAACTCCACTTGACTTTCAAGCAGCACAGTACTAAACTAACTAGCAAGCTGAATATGCTTGTTTTCACCAGCCAAGCACATTAAAAAAGACCCAGTAAATACAGAACACAGTAACAGGCTAAAAATAATCTCAATTCTTTCAAGTAGTCATGGTATTCTTTGATACGCAGGTAAATTTAGTTACTGCAATGTATGGCTTGCCCTTCCCTTTACAAGCTTTCATGCAACTAGCAATGTCACACATTACACAGAAATCAGCTTCAAAGAAATTGAAGAGATCACTTTCCACCACTAGTACTCATGTGAACAAGGTCTTTGTAGCCAAACTTTAAAATAAAACAGTGTACAGAGATCAAATACGGACCCCAAAGTCCAAAACATAGTGAAATAAAAGTCTGGCATAACCTAAAGGTTTGGGGGTGTTTGGTTTTGTTCTTTTTTAAGCAGCTTAATGACTATTGACTTAAAATTCGGAGTCAAAAGCAAGTACTTTCTATTTAAGCGCATCACAAAAAAGGTGAAAATGTATCAAACCCAAAAATCAGAAGAACAAACATTCAAAGACGTGTACATTTTTTTTGCCATCATCCCCACAAAGACAGACAGACAAGAAGTTGAGTCATACACCTCTGTATTTTTGTCTGTCTACTAAAATAAATCCAGGAAACACTATCTTCTCTAGCACGTTACTAAATTTTACTACTTGGCTTTCACGTTTATAAACCCAAGAATTATTTTTCTAGCGGTGACACAAGATACCACTGGTTCATGTAAGCAAAGTAAGTAAGCTTTACTTCAGGAAGTCAGGTCATACCTGAAGGCCAGAAGCTGATGCCACAGTGAGATCAGATCAAGTAGTGTTTGCCCCTCAGTATTAGCCTGTCTCTCTAGATCAGACTCACCTGGTGTGTATTTCAGTCAGTACCAAACAACACAAATTAACATCTAGTACAGTTATGCAGCCATGTGGACAACTACAGAAATGCTGGCAGTAACCTGTAATTTTTTGGTAGCACTTCATACTATGAGAAAAGATGCTGAAAAGAAAATGCCATTTCAAGCTAGTTGATAAAACTACACCCACTTTAAAGGCAAGAAAGTAAACTATATCCATTCTCCAGATCGCTCTTAAGGTCTGTTTTCAAAACGAGTAAATTGGGAAACTCATCCTTCTAATTATAAAAGTACTCCCTCCACGCTCGTATCAAACGGTAACCATCTAGGCTACTTTCTCTGCCCTCCATCACTTATATTTCACTCACACAGGAACATCTCAATGGCTCTGGTCCCTAAGAAAAATTGTGTAGAATATAAAATTCCACATTTAGCATTAGAAGCAACTCATGAAGCTTTTCCAAATGTTCAGACTCAGGGGGTTTCTGCTCAGTACCACCTTTCCAATTTCTTTAAACCTACAAAGCAGTTACAGACGCCTTGTTCTTTTGCTTGCCAAAGTTGGGAATGGTAGACTTGCTTCCCCCAACGCCTAAGCGGTTTCAATTCATAGCAAACTTCACAAATAAGACAAAATGCCACATCAGCAATTTTTAGAAAGTAACACAGAAACAGCTGGTAAGATGCATAAGCTGAGCGCTTATCTTCCCACTGCCTCTTTTCGTTCCCAACCACAGAAATCTTGATCTTTGTTTTCCCCATGTCATCAATCTCACATAACAATCTAAGCAAACATTTCATTCCACTTTGCCATGGAAGACCCAGACTGCAATGACTCCGCATGACCATGTACACCTTCAACACAAAACAGAAAACAAACTACACACCATTAGGTTGTGATTATACCTATACTTAAGGAAAATGCTCTGATAATCCGGTCATCTATTGTAACTGTTATTTAATCTACCCTCTGAAAGTGAAGTTCAGCGGGAATACTCCAGGCCTCAGGAGGACTAAATCTGGCTGCTTACAGCAATATTTTACCTTTCTAACATATTTCAAGGATGAACGACGTGCACACCAATGCACTTCAAGGTCTAAGCCACTTACCTAAAGATCACTGAAGAGGTCTTTGCTTCTACCTACAGAAAATGCTCTACAGACCCAAACAGCTTTACACCTCGCTTCATTTTTCCTACAGCTCTTACTGAGAGATGTGAATGTGCACACACTTCACACAGTGGCATAACTATAAGCAGTCTAAACAATATTCTTCTCAGCTGACACCAAGCTTTTTCACTACAACTGAAGCATAACCATGTATTTTAATAGGTTGTTATTCCGAAAATAAAAATGTTTCTTTTGGGTAGTTCAAATTCATGTCACAAAGCCACTATTTCTACAACTGCTGTTCAACTTCCAATGCAAAACCAGGAACACAGGAGGCAAACTAGGATGTTTAGAAGTGCCAAATAACCATTAAGACAAGCAAAACTGTTATCAGTGTGGAGCAGAATGAGGTGGAGAGCCCTGATCTGCACAACAGCCAAATATGACCTTCAGAAGACCTGGAGAGAAAAGTACAAAGCAACAGGTTCTGACAAAAACTAGAGTCAAAGATAAAAACTGCACTAAAAAAAGACATATCTGGGGGAGAGGGAAGCAGCTAAAGCTAATACAGCGACAGAGCATTTGACAGTGAGAAGTTTATTTACAACAAATGTTACGAGAAACAGCTGACCTAAACTTCATGATACTTTCCTGAAGAAATACAAATATACTCCAAAACTTATAGGCTGAAGGCCTGTGAGTCTTCTGTATGTACAGGTATATGTAGGCCAGTATAATTACACCACTATCAATCTCACGAGGGTAAATGGCAGCTAATCCGGAGCATTCACAACTTCATTTGTTGTCAAAGCACAAACTCATGATGGCTTGGCTTCGTGAATGAAGATTTGGGAAGGGCTTTACCATACCAGTACATCACACCAGTTAAGATCTTGTGCTTATCTGATTAAATCAGAAGGAGAAACCATTACTAAAAAGCAAGCTTAAACAAAACATGGAAGATTATGTTTTGAGTGAGCACGTGACAGCCGATGATACCCGGCCAAATTTAAACAAACCAACAAAAAAAGTCCCTGGAGACCATGTGTAAATACATTAACTCACTCTCATCAGGACTGTTTAAACTATGCATTGTTAGAAAGAATATTTAAGAGAAAAGAAACAACCTCTCATACACTCAGAACACTGGCTGCCCATGCGGAGAGTTCATAAACTCAAAGCAAAACAAAGTAGGGGAGAGGGCTTGGCAATCTTGCTATACAAAAGAAACTGCAGAAGTCAAGGTCAAGTGATTTAGATACTTTACCAGTAATAACCGTGATACAACTATTCTATAGGGAAATTCCTTCCCTGGTCTTGTCCTCTTCTGTTCTCTACTAATTCCTAACTTTGCCTGGGAAACGGGATTGGCATCAGTATATGAAGTTACTGCCCTGCCCGCACTTCCTCCGTAACACAATGAATCCAAGACACAGTAAGTGTAGCTAGAAGAATCTAGGATAAAACTCTGCGTTCAGCAAAAGCAACCATCTTTCCAACCTGCCAACTTAATCAAATAGGCTTGTGATTTCTTATAATTGTACTTGACGCCATACTTGCAAAAACATTCGCTTCGCCTTCTACTGGCTTCACAATTCCTTTTCACACATACTAAGTTTAGAGAAATCGACGAACAGGAGGAAATATAAAAAGGCAGATAAAACAAAAAAGCAGCCCACAGACTTCTTGTGCAGTATGTTACCCGAGATGATTTTAAATGTACGTTACAGTAAATAATGTTCACAGCAGATGTTTCATTAAACGTTAAAACAGGAAGAACAAAGTAAGACTACAGAAACACATTTATTTAAACAGAAAAACACAATCGCAGTGGTGAAGTAAACAGAAAAGGAGTTGATAAAATTAAATAATCCCATACATGAAACCTCTGGACCTTGTTTCAGGAAACAGCAAGCAGCATGGCTGAAATATACCCAGCATAACTAATGTTTCATCAACACCTGCTGATGAAAGCAACTAGGAAAAGCAACCTGTTGTCACTTCATTACTTTGCAGGGCACACGTAAAAAGGCTGCAAAGAACACAGTAATTCCGGGCCCGCAGAAACAAACGCTGCATTCCAAAGAAAGAGAAAACCCCAAACGCATACCCTGGTGTGATCTGGCCACCACCACGGGAAATGTCTCCGAGGCCCTCCCTGCCTTCATCTCTCCGCTACCCAACTCCCCAGCCCAGGCAATGCCACCCGGAATTGTTTTGCCCTCAGCACCGCCACGACCCCACGTGTTCCTCTCCGCCGGGCCCGGCAGCGGTAGAGCCCCGCCACCCGCGGCCGCCCCCGGCTCTTCCTCCCCGCTCCCGCCCCCCTACCGGGAGCCTCCCCTGCTTTCCCTCCACCCCGCAACGTCCCTGCCAGCCCCATTCCCAGTCCCGGCTCCGCGCCCGTCGCAGCCTCCACCCTCCCCCGAGACAGAAGCACTCAGCGCCCCACGGACGAACCGGCGTCGCCTGCGTTGCCCTTCTCCGCCTTAAGACCCAAATGGAGCGGGCTAAACAGAGCCGGGCCGGGCCGCATCCCCCTCAACCCTGCCCAGGGACTGACCCAGGCAGGGAGCAGCTCGACGCCGGCCCCGCGGAGGGCTGAGGGGCAGAAGCGCCGGTCCCGCACCGCGTTCCGCCTCCATTACTCCCGGGACCCCGAAGGGAACGGGGGACCCCGAGCTCCGCCGCGCCCCACCCCCGCCCGCCGGGGGGGGGGGGAGGGCCGAGGAGCGGGTCGGGGGGGCGGGACGGCGCTCACCTGGCAGAAGCGGCGGCAGTAATACTGGCTGTTGATCAGGGCGGGCAGGCCGGGCGTGGGGCCCGGCGCCACCAGCGCCTCCAGCTCCTCACTGAGCCGCTCCGACTCCTGATCGCTCTCGTCTTCCGCCATGCTGCTCCGGCCGCCCTGCGCGTACCGACCTCCCACTTCTAATTGGTCAGAAGCGCAGTCCATCTCCGGCACCCTGGCCGGAGGGAGCCAATCACCGAGGGGTTTCTCTCCCACGGCCGCTCCGTGGGGCCGGGCGGCGGTTGCCAGGCGGGTTGCTAGGTCCCGCCTACCGCGGCCGCCAGGGTGGGTCGGTCCGGCGGCTCGGCGGAGGGGTGCGTCCGGGCCTCGGAGCGGGGCCCAGCGGAGGAGCGGCGGCGGCGGCGGCGGCGGGGCGTGCGGAGGCCGAGCGGGTAACGGCGCCCGGCAGGGGGCGGGCGGGGGCCACCCGGGGCCGCTCTCCGCCGCCTGTGGGGTCCGGGCCCGGGCGGCGGCCGCCGGCGCCTGCGGAGACGGCTCCCGGCTGTGCCATGGAAACACCGGCCGTGCGGGTGGAGCTTGGCCGCACCTGTCTGCGGCCGCCGCGGATGGGGAGGGCGAGGCCTGGGGTGCGGCGCTGCCGCCGCCGGGCCGGGCCCGCAGCCCCCTTGGGACATAGGAGGGAATGAGGCGGTTGGCGGAGCTCGGACTCCGCTGCTCCTCCGAGGCCCTCCCGGGTTAAACCGGCACCGTGTCTCCTGTGGCCAAACCCCAGCATTCCCTGGGGAATACACCGAGTTCTGTCCGTCCCAGGGTGCTTCCGCGGCAGGGAAACAGCGAAACGCGGTTAAGCGGTTGGGAGTGCGGAGCTGTTTTCCTCCTCACCTAAAACAACCCCTTTGGGCCCGCCGCGGCTCCGTCTCCGGTGGGGCTTTTTACCCAGGGCGCGCTCATCCGCACCCTCGGGCTCCCACTGCTTCGGTGTTACCGTCCGTTACAGAGGGCAGGTCGGGTGTCTGCCCTGGTGTGCTTGCACGCCTGCCCTGCGCTTGGGAAGCCAGGAGCAGTTCAGGCATTAGTAGGCATCAAAGGATCCACGCCAAAACTCGAGGCGAAAACCACCCCCCTCAAAATCCTTTGTTTTGCCGGTTGTGCCGCTCGCAGGATCCTTACGGATTTCGATGCAGCATTAAGCACAACCACCTAGCTTAGAGGGGGGATTCGTTTTGGCGTTTCAGAGGCCTCAAGCAACAAGTGTATGTGAGGTTAAGGGCTGTTTTCTGCTTGATTGCAGGAAGCAGTGAAACTCGTGGGGATAGATTGTATAAAGCAACAAAAAGAACAAAGTTCCGTCGATGCTGAAAGAAAGATCAGTTGTCTTAGTTTGTAGCGTTGTGAAGTAACAGTCAGAACTTGCAGTTCTGGAAAGTAGCTGCTAGTACGAAATATAGGCTAAGAAAGTAGCTAATAGCAAAATCTTAGACTCCTTTTAATTGCTATCTTTTAGTTTAGCAATGGTTGAAGGAGAAAAAAAAAAAAAAAAGACAATTTTGAAGACTGAGTTTTCTGGGCCTTTATTTCCAGGGCAAGCCAAAGGCATTCTGAACAGGAAAATTTGATTTAGAGGTGGACAGGCTCAACTTAGAGTTAGTTTGGAAGTTCTGGCCTTTTAAAGTCGGACAACCTATTATATTTCCTCAAAATATTTCCCAGAATAGATCTTTTTAAGAAATGCCTGTTTCCCTTTTTTCTGTTAAGGAAGTGGGGTAGTTAATGTAATGACCAATGCAGGGTAGTTAAGGAAGCGGGTAGTTAATGTAATGACCAGCTCAGGAAACTTCAGACCTGAACATGGCTGTTTCTTGATTTCAGCTTTACTTTGAAAATGACTTAAATTGTCTTGGCTGAGATTTACACCAACTACTCTATTTCTCCCCAGCAAAGACAGATGTAAGTCCTGTTTGATTTTAGTACACTTGCCTAAGTTACTGCCTGCTTTGGTAACAGTGTAATTTAGAGTGATGTTAAAAAGTGTCCAGCTCTCTTAGTTATCAGTTACCTTCCTCAGAGAAGTTGTCATCTTTGAAAATATAGGTTCTTATTTTGCACTGAAAAATATTTTGCCATTTTCTATTCACGTCAGGCTCTTTCAGCAGTCTCTAGTTGCTGTGACAAAATGATTTGCTTTTGACTTGGAGTTCAGGTTCAGTCCAATAGCTGTGGTATGAGCTGGGGCAGAAGTGAGGGGTGTTCCCAAATGAGCACTGAAAAAGATCAAGTTTGGGGTTTTGGGTTGGGTTCTTTTTTTTTACTGGCTTTTGAGACAGTAATGGTCTTCTTGCCAGATATTTCAACAACTAAGTTTTTGCTACACATTTTCAGGAAGTAAACAGCAAAATACTCACTCAACATAAGAAACTGTCAAATATATTGAAGATACCAAGAAAGTACCCTTTACCATAAAAAGTAAGGGATAAAAACAGCCTGCAAGAAAAAAGCCTTTCTATTTGACTTTCAGTGATAAACAGATGAAGTTTTGAGAGTCCTGCTGAGCTTTGTAGTCACAGAAACTCACCCATGAGGAAGCTCAGTCTCGTATATTCTTTGGACTTCAAGACGAAGAACATTTCAATAGTCATTTCGTATATGTATCTTACATGTAATTATATTGTAGCTGGCAATAAGTATTGAATAGACTGCATCCAGAACTATTTGGTTGAAATCATTAGCACATTTTAACAGCAATATTGTTTCCCAGCTTTCAGGTAGAGTGCATTGAAGGCACAATGGAACGGTTTGGAGTCAAGTCTGCTCCGTCACGTAACCGCTCGAAGACCGCTTTGTATGTAACTCCTCAGGATCGCGTAACTGAGTTTGGCAGCGAGCTGCACGAAGATGGAGGAAAGCTCTTCTGTACTTCCTGCAATGTGGTTCTGAATCACGTTCGCAAGTCTGCCATCAATGACCACCTCAAGTCTAAAACGCACACAAAGAGGAAGGCAGAGTTTGAAGAACAGAACGTCAGGAAGAAGCAAAGGACTCTGACTGCCTCCCTTCAGTGCAACAGCACTGCCCAGACAGAGAAAACCAGCGTCATCCAGGACTTTGTGAAAATGTGCCTGGAAGCTAATATTCCACTTGAGAAGGCTGACCATCCATCTGTGCGAGCCTTCCTGTCCCGCTATGTCAAGAATGGCAGTTCGATACCTAAGTCAGACCAACTAAGGAAAGCATACCTGCCTGATGGGTATGACAATGAGAACCAGCTCATCAATACTGAAGACCGTTGAGAAGGAAACTGTTTTCATCATTGTTGTGAAGTTTTACATATTGATGGTGTGCTTTATTTTTATATTCATGCATATAAACAGTGTTACATATTGGTTTTACAAGCTATTTTGTATTAATGTAGAAATGACAATCTATTTGTGAACTTGGTGGTATGCCACAGACTGTTGCTAACCCTGCTGTAGACTTCTGAGCTACATTGGTGTAGAACTCACGCTGAATGTAGGGAGCATAACCTGGCAGACACCTTATCCACGTTCAGTCCAGCTGTACCTGACGCTAAGAAAAAAGCACTTGGATGGAGGACCTCAGTTACCTAAACCGTGCATCTAAATATACAAGGAATATGACACGATGGAGATTGTTAATCATGTCAGTGGATTGCTTTTTCCAGTATCCTGTCCATGAATGATCGAGAGGAAGTGCTGCACATTTGAAATGCAAGAAGCTGTAGAATGGTTAGTTAAAACAACTGCTGTGTTGGAGGAGGATTATTGCAAATTCCTATTCAAGTTCGGTTTATGTTCTAAAATGGGAAACATTTTTCTTCTAGAATACTCTTCTATCCTACTTGGTGCAATTGTGGATGTCTGGCTCCAATAGCTGGTCTCTTGTACTGACTGCTGACCTCCACTGTTATGAATTTCGGAGTTCTGCATGTTTACCAGTCCCCCTTTTCTAAAATCACAGTTTCATTGCTCTGTTTAACATGTCCCCTTCAATTTCAGTGCCAGTCGTTGAAAGTCAAATTGACAACCCAGTAACTGAGTGTGGCTTGCAGTGCAGTTGCTGACAAGTGAAATTTACACTGGGTGAAAATCTTAGTAGACAGGATTAATGCCTTTTTTTACTAGCAGGACAGAGGATACTAGATCTAAATTGGAGATGGTGGAAGCACTAAACAGTGGAGTTGAGAAAGCTTTTTTTACTGTGCATATAAGAAGAGGCTCCTTCAGCTTTCCCTGAAGGTCTTCTCCATCTCTGGCCTTGTTTTCAGCCTTTTAGGCAAAGGAGGTAAAGCAATTAAGATAGTTTTCAAAATGGTTACTGGAAAGGCTATTCAGTACCTGTAAAGGCAAACAGAAAAGAATGTATGCTTTGCAGCTCTACTGGAATTACAGGCCTGGGCTGTGTTTCTTACTCTGTGCAAAGGCCATATCTATAAAGGGCAACAAAGGCTAGCAAGGACTAGCAAAAAGTAAAATGGGCAATTGAAGAATTTCAATATGTTACCCTCTCTGAAATCTAGTAAACTATTATGGAGCTATTCCAAATTATGCCAAATAATCCACTCAGCGTAAGTGCTCTATAAAGTTTTTGAATGGAATGAGGGAGCTTTGTGCAAAGTGCTGGAGTTAGAGCACCTTCTGTCTGCTTTAGTTTTTCTTGAGGTGCTCCAGGTTTCGGGGAGGCACCAGGCATCTAGTAACGCAGAACTCCTCAGTGGATACAGTGGTGTGACTATGCCGTAACTCCCTCAGGTAGAGCCAGTTGTTCTTTTCAGCTTCCTTTCCCCAGCAGAGTTTCACAGTATTTGTTTCTCAGCATTTACTTTATTCCAGATATTTACAGCAATACTAAGTAATTGCTAAAAAGAGACAAAATAAGCTGCTTATTTTGTTTCTCTAGCTATTTCTAGAGCAGTCTCTTCCGCTGGATTGAGAGAGACTTACATACTAAGTACCAACTAGTTTTTGTGCAATTATCTTCTACAGAAATGCACTTGTGTCACATTATTATCATGTCTTGTAGCCTTCTGCTATTAGACGTGTTTGATTAAATGGACAAAACTAAAAGGCAGGAGGCTGCTTACCCACATATTCTGGTGCATGGGTGCTAAGTACACTGCCACACCTTTGGTCCCTGTTGATGATAGCAGGACTCCATGTAGGTATAACAGTCCTATCGCTTATAGCGGTTGCTGTTTCGGAACTACAGACAGAAATAACGGTAATCATTTTTTTCCACTCTAAACCTAGATACCAAAATATGCCTTGCAAAATACTATTTGCTCCTGCACAAGCTTGGGTTTAGCTTAACATCATGAACTGCCTTGAGCTACAACTGTTTTATAGATCTTCTTAAGCCAAGTTAAGGGTACACTGCCAATAGCTTTTTCTGCCCTGACAATAATTGGAAGTGTTGTTTTACAGCTGCTGTTTCATTACAGTGAAACAACAGCCTTGCTTTATTTTTTTTTCTTACCTTATGAATGCTATCTTAGAATTGAAGCAAACAGAAAACAACGAAGTATTGAGAAAAGAGGCTTCCATTACAAATAAAAAAGGCGTTTAGAGAAGATAGTATGATTACAAGGTATAAATTGGGACTAGTTAGCTCAGTTCTTGCTAACATGGGATTTCAGAGGCTGCCCCCCATAACCATTTTATATTGGATTCAATGCTGTATATTTTTCCCTTGGACTGGCAAACTGAGAGACGTTTTGGAAAGCTTAATGGTAACATTAAATAAGCTCTTACACAACTGAAAGAAAACCAAAACCGAGTTCCTTTCACTTACGTAAAACCAGAAGTTAGCAGCATCAGCAGCTTTTGGTAAAAAAAGAAGCCCAGGCGTTTTCATTAAGGCAAAGCAATATTAGAGCACTTGGTTTCTCAGCATTTGATTCTGCTTGTAGCAGTCTGTGTACAGAGCCTCAACTTAGAGAAATAATACAGCTGTGTAAATATTGTCAGCCATTATTCTAGTACCACTTAATGCAGAATTACTGCAGAGGGTGGGAGCCTGGTGAGGAGCCTCAGCAATGTAGCCATAGGCTACCAACTGATAGCAATTTGGAAGCAAAAATTGGTCATGAGGATTTTGAATGGAACTGATTTAATTCCAGTGCACAGCAGTTTGTAGGATGCTGGCGTCTTAATCCTGTTTTGTTTAAGTCACACCATTTTCCAAGCTTTTGGAAAATCAAGATTGTTATCCATTGCAACAGATTCAGAATGGAGTAAACCAATGAAAAATAAAACACTTGCAGGTAATCTGAAAAGAATAAGGAGCAAGCTTATATTCGTGGACATAACCCAGATCATCAACAAGACAGATACACTCATTTCCTTTAGAAGTAAAAATAGCTCCACTCAGTCTTGGAATAGAGTCCTACAGATGCTTAAGTTTAGAGCCAGTGTGGCTATAGCTGGATGAAGCATATCCTTGGTTTAATTACTACTGATCTTAGGGAAGATTTACAGCGGAAGCTTTCTGGTGTATCTAATCCTAATAGCAAAATCCTAGGACAGAGGCTGTGGTTGTTAAACAGTCTCCATGGACTGGAGGTTTTTTGGGTGGTTTTTTTTCCTGCAAGAACCATGTATTTCCTGTAAAGCGTACTCTCAGAAGTAAAAGGAGAATGGTAGCGACGTCTGCTTTTCATTTTACGTGCTTATGTAGGGCAAGCTATAAGGGATACTTTTGCCAGGTGGTTTTATTAATATATATGAAGCTGTAAATGTAATATAAAAGGAAAAGAAGAAATGTTTTCTTCTCTGACCACGCACTTATATTAGTTTAGCCAACTGACAGCTAAAATTACTCCAAAGTGCTTTTCTTGAAACATCAAAGAATAAAATACAAACAGGCACATTCTCTGTTTTGTGACTACTTACACATATGTACCATGTAGTTAGTTTCAGCTTGCATGTTCTTGAAGAAACATGAGCAAGTTCTAATGATTTTAAGCATTCTGAAGCCTGTAATTTGGCAGGTCCCTAGAGGAGGTGAAACATTTGACATAATGAAAGGGAAAGCTGTTTTTCAGTTGAGAGAGAAACTTGGTTCTGCAAAGTATGAGATATTCTCATGATAGGACTATTTTTAGCCAGAGCCCCTTTTTAGCAGTTCTGTTGAGCTGAACAGCAAAATGTTCCCTGCAACGTTTTTCAGCATAATGAGCTGGTTTTTAGGAGTGGGGAAGGGGGGGGGGAGAGCTGGAAGTTTGGCAAGGATAATCTCTATTTATATTTGCATATAAAGAGAGGCAGGAATCACTGTTGTGTTCACATTGTACTCCCCGCTAAATCTTTTTGTGTAATTTGAGTGCTTGTTGTCTTTGTACATTTTTCAGATTGTGTCTGACTTGCTAAATAAATCTCTTTTTTTTTTGTTTGGTTTTTAACAAAGCTTCTCATTGAAATAACGCTGTTAAAAGTTTAGGCTCGTTTGGGCTAGTGAAAATGCTTTATTTTTGGTTTGGTAGTAGGGATGTTTCACAGATGGAAAGTGGCCACAGAAATGGTTTTATTGAAACTTGCGAGTAGATACTAGAATGAGGCTGAAAACACCTGGATCCTGCAGTGCCACAAGTCTGCCTATTAGAACAGTAAAACCAGAGTAAGTGATTTTAAGTTTTTATATTAAAATATTATTGGAAGATAAATACTTTACTTTGTAAAGTTTTCACTTGGGAATGGAAAAATGGTTCTTAAAAAACAATAAAGGAATTGCTTTTTCATAGATTTCATGCATGACCTCTTCTTTTGCCAAGAAAGCAGATAAAGAACCTGTGTAGTTCACATATAATGATAATGTAAGATTGCAGAAGTGGATGGTGACAGGAGAAAATAATCTACATGCTGTTGTTGTAACCAAAGGTAATGTCAAACTATAGGTTGAAGCAGTTCATTGGCGTATCTGTACAATGACATCGAAGTCCGGTTATACAGGGCTGGTTAACCAGAACCCCTGTTTCCTGTCGAGTATGCGGCTTCCTTTATGGTGACAGAAATTCCCTGATTATGCCTTCTGTGGCAAGTGAACACCAAGTTCACTTGCTACGTGTTTTAATGTTGCAGGAAACAACTGGTAGGTATAGGATCTCGCAGCTGCCTAATACTACAAGTCTTTTCAAGAAGAGCATCTGCAATGTGGAAGAATGAGGTCTTTCCAAAAGAGTCGCAATTGGATCTCTTTCTTCCTTAGGGACACAATGAAAAGTGAGCAAATAGCATCAGTCCATTGAAATTATCAAGTGTAGATTTGATTGCTTACACTTTCCTTTTCCTGAATTCTTACCTCGCTTGACATCTCATGATGGATCAGTGGTAAACTAGTCTAACCTCCTGACTCATGAACTTACTAGTCATTACTTTCTCATTTTCAGTCATTTTTGGTCACAGCACATTAAGATCAGTTTGCTTTTTGTTGCCCTTAAATGGAAAAGCAGCTTCGAAATAAACATATCCTTTTGTAAAGTTTTCTGGTGTGGACAATACCTCTGAAACAGCATATGTGTGCTTGCAGAATCAATGCATCAGAAAGGATTTGTGTGGAAGAACTGGGTGAAGTACATATCTGAAGTCTAGCAATTGGGCCATGCTAAATTCTTGCAATGACATTTTACTTTCCTAACTGAACGATGCAGCTTAACCCATATCCAAGATGCAGCAGGATGAAGTATACATAACTGCTTTTAGGCCACGTTTATAGTGATAATTAGGTTTGATGTTTGTCATTTACATAGGATGGACAACAGGGGCTGGAGGACAGAGAATCTGTGCAGTTCTGCTTAAGTCTGATAAGGGGTTTGGATTTGTTTGTGGTGGTTGGTTTATTTTTTTCCTCTCTCCATCCCTCCACTTTTCCTACAAAGGGTTTGGAATATGTGGGTCTTCTGATGGTAGAGGCCACTTCTTTCATACTTGAAAGCAGATAAGACAGCTCAAGTAACATACAAGGTGCAGGCTGTGGACAGGATACAGTGAGCTACTGCAACTTAGCCTTGGCATTGGGCAGCCTCAAGACCAGTGCTGTCCTGAAGCTACATGTTACCTATTAGGTATACTTAATACTGTTCTGCAAAGTAGAAAAGGATAGAATAAAAACTATAAGCAATTGCTGAATAACTGAATAACAGTCCAAATTTAAAAGCCATTAATCTAAGTACTTAGCTCTCTTTGTGTCTTGTCCTGTCTAGCATTGCACAGGAAGTAAAAGCAGAGGCTGACTTAAGAGCAGTGAAATAACCAGTACTCTCATATGTGGTCCACAACCACACTAAAATAAGAGTACACATTCATTAGGAAGTTTCTACTGTCTTCAGTGGATACTGCTACTCTTCCCTCCTATCTGATGCTTTTGTTCAGTGAGAACTGTTTTATCCTTGAGGAAAATAAGGAAATCTTACCTTTTCTCCTTACCAACAGCAGCTTACAGCAATGGAGTGGACAGGGTATAATTCAGCAGTTCTGCAGGAGCTCTAGAGGTTCTTGGTGTGTGGGGAAGGATGTATATGGGTTTGCCTCAAGTGCTTTTTTAGTCTGTTCTTCAGTGTACAGAATAGCTGACAAATTCAGTATCAGACTTTACCGCAGTAGATGAGACCTCCTTACTTTAATTCCTTTGTAATTAGCTTTAAATCACTTCATCCCTCCCCTTGTTTCTGAAGCTTGTCATTACCTTAAGACAAATCCAATGACTATGAT